CTGGAGGACCGGCATGCAGCCTCGGTTTTAACCAAAGTATGTGCGATCCTCCGCCGGATGTTTAATGGAGGGTAACATTAACAAACGTCAGTGGAACTGCGAACACAGTCGCATAACAAGGATTGGCGATTTACAATAGTTTCCTGCTGCCTCAGTCCCCTAAAGCCATTCCGTACCGAACCACGGGCCCAAGGAGAGAAGGAAGGAGATGGCATTAAGCTGTTTCTTGACTTTAACGGACGATTGTTTGTCAGAAATCCTCCGAAGCCATCCGTAACACCGTGATAAGGCAAAGACCGCGAAGTCAATACAAATCTCTAGGATGGATACTTATTTGTTTTCGGAACGTGCGAAAAATTAAAAGTGTATTGTGTGTATTTTAGGGTAATAGGCAATGCCCTTGATGACCCTATTGAAAACGGTACATAAAATATAAATGTTAAATGTACATCTTACCAAAATTTTGTCAGTAACATATTTGTTCACGGAAAGCTTTCACAATGCGGGACTGCAAAGGGTGCGGCAGGCGGTCTTCTCAGTATACATATGAAATGTTAAGTGCAGTTATATACAATCAGCATAAAATGCAGTCATTTGCATAGTTTGAGAGGGGACATCTCATTAAGATCCTAAGATAGACTGTCCCTCGCAGACACTTTCCCCCAGTCGATACACAATCTCTACGAAACTAACACTCACTAGTTTCAACTCAAACATTTCTTTAACCTTTTGAACGGGACCTAAAAAAGTTTATTTGAAGAACTTACTCCGAGCTTGCAAATTCTTTGCTAAAGGAATAAAAAAGCTTTACGAAACACGCGTCTCAGTTTTTAATTAGTAACCATATCGCCAGTATGGAGAATCATTTGTAAACATGTCTGTCTTTTCGACCGGGGTCAGTCAGTCAAATGGCGCAAGACAGCCTCTTCTTAACTACTCTAGAGCGAAAGTGGTCAGTGACGGCTAGTCATCCCCGTACTTATTTGGCATTTGCAAAGCGCAATCGCTGACGAAGCTATGTATTTTTAACTCACATGGACTTAAAGGGTAAAAACTGTGCTTTTCAGAAAGTAAAAGTAGAAGTAAGGTCAATCATACAATAGATGTGCTAACTCATGAAATGTCAACCAAAATTTCGAATTGCGTTCTCGTTTCGAAAAGATAAATTAAGTAGTGTTGTAAAACTAATCATGATGCAGGATAAATCTGTAATGATCCAGTTACCTCAGGGTATCGGCTTTCGAAAGAATTTATTTTCGGCTGCATGCAAGATCTATACTCTGTAAAAAATGACTTCTTAAGGAGTGTACAATTTTCTCATTGATTTTCGATGCCCTTGAACATTCAATTATATTTCATGGAAAACATGCATAAAAATATTCATTCTTTTACTTATTCGGTAGAACATCACCTCTTCTTTCAATTTCATACTCAAAAGAAGAGTATAATTCGGTTTTAAAAAACTTTTCTAATTCCCGAATAATTTTGAACCCCACCTGCCGTTGCACTTGCATTCAGGGTTTCAAAACTACAAGCTGTATATTTTCCGTGTATGGAAAACCATGCGTTTCTCTACGGTGTTAAGAGGAGACCATATGAGGTTCATAAAATTAAGCAGTGGATTTTAGCAATATTGTTAACTTTACAAGGCACATTCGTAAATGCAGATACATGACGTTTCATGAACGGCCATTTAACGGTATTAAAAAATCTCACAATTAGAAACTTTTTTAAAACCGAATTATACTCTTCGTTTAAGTATGAAATTGGAAGAAAACGTGATTTTCTACCGAATAGGTAAAAGAATGAGTATTTTTATGCATGTTTTCCATGAAATATAATTGAATGTTCAAGGGCATCGAAAATCAATGAGAAAATTGTATACTCCTTAAGAAGTCATTTTTTGCAGAGTATAGATCTTGCATGCAACCGAAAATAAATTCTTTCGAAAGCCGATACCCTGAGGTAACTGGATCATTACAGATTTATCCTGCATCATGATTAGTTTTACAACACTACTTAATTTATTTTTTCGAAACGAGAACGCATTTCGAAATTTTGGTTGACATTTCACGAGTCCAAGGATCACCAAGGAGTCCAAGGATCACCAAAGCAAATCGGGAGAGGCAGCGAGGTCGGGATTGGACAGGAAATTAACGTGCAAAAAGTAAGCTGCCTTTGCCGGGAGAAAGACCAATATTTTTCGACTGGTCAAGCAACGGAGCAATTTGTCCATTTTGCTGAGCTTTCTAACTCGTTCAGGAGTCCATCGTTAGAGATAAAGGTGATAATAGAACAGGGGACAATTATTGGGGGTATTAGTCAATCAACAATCCGTGACGCAGGTCTGGAGGTTACTGCGCAAGGCTCTGTAATTCCGACGTCGGGTCGTCACATCTGAAGTCCAGGATTCAGTAAATTCTCGAACTGTCCTGCTACCCGCGCGAGCAATCATCTTGATAGCTGCGAACTGGATTTCATGACTCATCTCATAGGTGAGCAGTCACTCGCGATAAGTCGTCGTCCCATCGCACTGCCAGTTTATGTTCGTACGTAACGTCCCACAAATCG